CAAATATATTTCATATGACACTGTCCTAGCTTCTCCAGTGGTCAGTTCACTCTCTGGTCAGGTACTTTTGACATTGCTTTGCAAATGAAATCATGAAAACAACGCATGGGAAGAACTTAACAAGGATCTGGCTAATAAATAATTAGATGAGATGATTTCCCTCATCCCTTTAAAAGTGAATCAAGTTGTTACTGACCATATTTTCTTCATACATTTCCACTATTATGCTTTGTTCTATTCTTTCAACTGCCCTCATCACTGGCTTCTTCCCTTTAATGTGGGGACTGGGCCTCAAAAAATAGGCAGTTCTGTGGTTATGGGCCCAATCTCTCTCCTTCCTTTACCAGCCAAGGGTCTTAAGACAGCTTCCTCTGTTCCACTTATACTGCTTTCCCATTGAACTGCTCAGATTAAGGCCATGCACGAGCCACACAGTTACCCATAATTATACCTGCTTCCAGTCTGTTCAAGTGCTCACAAGACTCTCATTTCTGACTCAAGTTCCCTTTTGATCTTTTTAGCACAGCTTCTTTCCCGGTCTCATCCATAGGCTTATTTTTCTACTAAATATAAAAGGGGCTCTCTCCTTACTCTACACAACTAACTGGGCAATGGCCTTCACAACCACTAAGTGCTGGGCCCACCAATGCATATTTCCTTTCCAGACATGTTTCTGACTCCCAGCAACCGTGTATCAGACTAGACAAGGACTTCAAAGTAGTACCATAGAGAGGCAAATTAGAGAAGAATGCACAAGAATGAAGAGGAACAGTCAAGATAAGAATGGAAAAAAAAAAGACAGATATTCAAGAGATCTTATGTTGCCAAAAATGAAATTAGAAAAATGTAAATAAAAATAATACCCGTGAAAAATACCTGAGATAACAAAAGCAACAGGTTCAATATGTTTTAAAGCAAAATAAAATGTGTTGCGTGAGAAAGTTTCAATTACATAAAAACTGCATCCTATTAGCATACAGTCAGGAATAAACAGCTAACCCTCACAGACATAACAGTCATGCTGAACTCAGACCTGAATGCCTTACTACGAATCGGAAAACAACACAACAGGATGATAACTCAAGAATCTGAAAAGTGTGTGACCTAAGAATAAAAAAAAAATTTGGAGAGAGTGGCAAGATGGCCAGGTAGAGATGCCTGGCACTTCTTTCCTCCTCCAAAATGAACCAGAACAACAAATAAACAGGTGCATTTCAGGTTTAGAGATATGGAACCTAGCAAGACATCACACAGAGACACAGAGACATCATACAGGCATAGACAATGGTATCAATTTTAAAAAGTCAATGAGATTCAAGAAAATACAGAATGACTATTTCAAAAAAATTAGTAAAATAATTCATAGGATGAAAGGGAAATTTATAAAGTAAATTTGTAAGGTAAAGATCATGAAAAAGAATCAAACAAAAATCTTAGCGGTGAAGAACTTAGTAAGTCAAAGAAAAATATAGTTGGAAGCTTCAACAATGATGAGGTAAAACAGAAAGAATCATATCTGAATATGAAGATAGAACTTTTATCCCAGATCAAAACAAACAAACAAAAAAAAAAGAAGAAAGAATAGTCTAACTCATATCATATTCCTTTTCTGACCACAATGGAATAAAACTAGGAATCAACCAGAAAAATAACTTTAGAAATTATACAAATACATAGATACTAGTCAACATACTTTTGAACACACCATGGGTCACTGAAGAAATGAAAAATTTCTTAAAACAAATGAAAATAGAAATACAACACACCAAAATCTATGGGATACACCAAAAGCAGGAGTAGGAGGAAATTTTATAGCATTATATGCCTACATTAACAAAACAAAACAAAACAACAGAAGGATTTAAAATAAATGATTCAGTATTCTCAAGGACCTAGCAAAGAACAAATTAGGACCAAATTTAATAGAAGGAAAGAATCAAAGATCAGAGCAGATAAAGTCAAAACAAAGATTTGTTAAACAAAGAAAAAAGAGAAGATGCAAATAAACAAAATCAGAGATAAAAAGAAAAAGACATGGATACCACAAGAAAACAAAGGACCAGTAGGGGCTATTCCGAACAATGATATGCCCAAACTAGAAAACCCAACAGAAATGCGTAAACTTCTGGACATATAACCTACCAAAACTGAATAATGAAGATATAGAAAACTTAAACAGACCAATGAGTAATGAGATTAAATCAGCAATAAAACAACTCTGAAAAAAAGAGAAGCCCAGAATCAGGAGGCTTCACTGCTAAACTCTACCAAATTAAAGTTTTAAAGGAAGGACAAACATCATTTCTTCTTACTATTCCAAAAAACTGAAAGGGAGGGGAAACTCTTCTAAACTCAGTTTGCAAGATTAGCAAATTGATATTAAAATTAGACAAAGTCACAACAAAAAAGAAATCTATAGAGCAAATATCCCTGATGATCATAGATACCAACATTCTTTAAACACACACACAAAAAAGCAAGTCAAAAACATTACACACCTTGATCCAGTAGGACTAGCCACAGGGATGCAAGGATGGCCAACATTTGCAGATCCATAGAGTAATACAACATATCAAAATAATGAAAGGTAAAAATCATTTCAACAGAGCAGGGAAAGCATCTGATCAAATCCAACATCCCTCCATAATAAAAACCATAAAGAAATTAAGTATAGAAGGATCATACCTTAGGCTGGGATGCTGCTCAGTGGTAGAGCATGTGCAAGGTCCTGGGGTTCTAATCCTAGCACAAAAAAATGAAAAAAAGAAAAATCCTACTTCAACATAACATACTGAATATGCATTTCCTCTAAGAAAACAAGAAATGGATGTTCAATCTCACTGTGCTCTTATTTAATCTGCTGGAAGTTTTAACCAGAACAATCAGGTAAGAGAAAAAAAAAAATAAAGTATACAAATAGAAAAAAACCTTTACAGATATGATTCTATATATAGGAAAACTTCATCAAAAGACTAAATAGAACTGATAAAGGTATCAAACCTGCAGGTTACAAAATCAATATATAAAAATCAGTGGCATTTAATTGTATTTGCAGATTGAACCCAGGGCCTTGTGCAAACTGGATAAGGAAAGGTCTACAACTAAAGTACATCCCCAGCCCTATTTGAAGTTTTGAGACTCTGAGTTAGGGTCTCATTAAATTGCTGAGGCTGGCATCAACTTGCCATTCCCCTGCCTCAGCTTCTCAAGTAGCTGGGAGTACAGGCCTGTGCTACCTCACCCAGCAATCCAGTAGCATTTTAATGTAAAAATAACAAATTTGCTGAGAAAGAAATGAAAACAATCCCATTTATGCAAGCTACAAACACATAAAAAATTACATGGAAATAAATTTAGCCAAGAAAAATGAAGAAACTCTATAATTAAAATAATAAGATACCAGTGAAAGAAATTGAAGATACACAAAAAATGAAAAGACCTGCCATGTACATGAATTGGAAGAATTAATATTTTTAAAATGTCCACACTACCCCCCAAACTTTCCAGATTCAAAATAATCCCCATCAGAATACTAAGGATATTCTCCACAGAATTAGAAATCACAATCTTAAAATTCATACAGAAGCACAAATGACCCCAAATAGTAAAAGAATCACAAGCAAAAATAATAAAGCCAGGGAATATAACAATATCCAATTTCAGGACATACTACAGAGGTACAGCCATCAAAACAGCACGGTACAAAAGCAGACACAGACACCAATATAACTGAAAAAAATCCCAGAAATAAACCAGGCATCCACAGTCAGTTCTTGATAAAAGTGCCAAAGATATAAATTGGAGAAAGGACAGACACCCTTTTCTTAATTGGTGCTGGGAAAACTGGAAATCCATTCTCAGAAGATTCAAACTTGACACCAACTCTCATCACACACAAAAATCAACTCAAACGGGAGAGACCTAAAGGTAAGACCTAAAATTAGGAACCTCAAGACACCATATAGGAAGTGATTTTTCTGGACAAGATTCCCAAAGCATGGGCAACAAAAATAGATAAATTAGATTTTAACAAACTTAAAAGTTTCTACATAGAAAAAGAAACAATCAACAGTGAACAGAAATACTGTAGAATGGGAGATTATCTCTGTAAACTATTCATCTGATAAAGAATGTATAAGAAACTCAAAAGACTTAAAAAAAGTCAAATAACATGATTTTAAAAAATGGGTAAATGATTGGAATAAACATTTCTTGGCAGAAGTCAGACATATGGCCAACATATATATGAAAAAATGTTCAATATCATTACCTAACAGTTATTTCCATCCTATGGTCTATGTTCTGAATTTCATGGTCAAACACAAAATTGCACAGAATTATTAGAAATAAAAATAATTTATATTTTCTTAGTGGAAAAAAAAAGGTTTAAAAAAGCTCTAGCATTTTTAAGACCTAACTAGCATGAAACATTATATGGTTTAGTCTCATGATGAACATCTTCTATTTCCTACTCTGGCTAAATTTCAGATCATGCAATCTGTACAATAAGATGAAACCTAGTAAGGTATGTGCTGTCTTTGTTTCTATGGTGGCTAAATGCTTAAGACAAAAACTTTTCATAAATAATTTGGAGCAGCTCTTTTCAACAGGCCTTTGGGAAATAATGGAATTGTTCTACATCTGCTCTGTACAATAAGTCAGCTGCAAGCTACAAACACATAAAAATTACATGGAAATAAATTTAGCCAAGAAAATGAAGAAACTCTATAATTAAAATAATAAGATACCAATGAAAGAAATTGAAGATACACAAAAAATGAAAAGACCTGCCATGTTCATGAATAGCCACAGGTGGCTATTCAATACCTAGAATGTGACTAATGTGACTAAAGCACAAATTTTCTATTTTATTTTTTAAAATTTCCTTAAATTATAATAGCCACAGACAACTAGAGAGACTTCCACACAGTGTTAACTGAACTGCTTGGTTAATCTCTATAATGGGTAGTAAGTATTCGTTGCCTACTAAGTATCCCTACCTCTCTCTCCAGAAGCTCCGTTTTACTCAGGCAGCTAAGCTCCTTCCCCAGCTCCAGTGCTGGTTCGGATTAAAAGTCCAAGCTCATAGTATTGCTCTGGTGACTTCTATTGGTTCAGGAATAGGCACATGACCTAGGGCAGTCTAAAGACCTTGGAGGGTACCTATGTTCTATGGTGTGGAGACCTAATTCTCTCTCTCTTCACAGCTGGGGATGAATAGGGAAATAAGTGGATTCTGGGGCTTCCAGTAGCCACTCTATAACCTTGAAGAGAGTGAGGTGCTGAACTACACAGAGTCTGCTCCCCTTTAAATTCCTTCTTCCTGTGAGTTTACTGCTGGAGCCAATTCCAGTCCAGCTTCAGTTACTTGCAGCTTTCAGATGAAGCCAGGTGGGTAGACAGCTATCATCTTGTACTCCCGAGGCTCTCCAGAACACATCAAATTGCCTTTTCTCACACTGTACCAGCAAACCTGACCATATGAAGTCTTTCATCCATGAACTGTCAAAGGATCATCTGAAACTCGAAATCAGTGCTATCCACATCCATGTTTTGAACCTCACCACGCTTGTCTATATTTTCTGTAGAATTCTTTCAGTTTGAATGCACTTTGCACTTAACAATGCTGGTCAACTGTGTGACAGATACACTGCAAAGAAAAAGAAAATAGAAAACAACTAGAAATCTACCATGCCAACTTTGCCTAAAAGATAAGGTACAGTGAGGTAAGATGAAGATATGTTTTGTGCTACAAAGAACAAAAACCATGTTCCAGTGAGCCATTTGGTAATACAAAGGTTAGTCAACCTGCATGAAAATTGGAAGGGCCCAAGGCATAATATCAAGTTAAAAAAGTGTAACATGAGCTGGGTGCAGTGACACACATCTGTAATCCCAGAGATTTGAGAGGCTGAGGCAGGAGGATTTCAAGTTCAAAGCCAGCCTCAGCAACTTAGTGAGGCCTTAAGCAACCTGTTGACTCATAGAAAAAGAGCTGGGGATATGGTTCAGTGGTTAAGCACCCCTGGGTTCAATTCCTGGTACCAAAAGTAAATAAATACATAAATAAAGTGTAATAAGTTATTGAAATAGACAAGTAGAAGATGGTGAGACAATTCTTTAAAGTAGGAATGGGGCTTTATAGAAGCTCCAAGCTATGAAAGCTGCTGTAGCTTTATAATTCATTATAAGAGTTATTTTGAAAAGGAACCATAATTGGAATTTCCATTTTTTTCCCTCCAAATACCCTGGCGTCTCAGTTTCATGACCTCTTCTCCTGCCCTTCAATGACCTCACCCTATACCTCACCTTAGCCACCCTACTCCAGTTTATACATTTACCATGTCACTGTCAATACTATACAGATCTCCTTCTTCTTAACTACCACCTCTTACATTTCTACCTTATTTCTTCTGATCCTAACTTCACCCCTCCTGGGCCCTTCCATCTATTAATCCCACCATCATTTCACCACTTCAGGCCCTCTTCATGACTTCCTTTTCCTCTTCACCCAGCTTAGACCCAATGTTTCTACTAGTGAATTATTATACTAATAAGTAACGGTTTTCTTAGTGCACTATTACTATTATTAGCTGCTATGACAAAATACCATAGACTGGGTGTCTTTAAAAACAGACATTTATTTCTCACAGTTCTGGAGGCTAAAAGTTCAAAACCAAGATGCTGGCAAATTAGGTTCCCAGTGATGATCCTCTTCTGTGTATGCAGAGAACCACTGTTTGGCTGTGCCCTCACAGGGCAGAAGGAGGAAGCAGAGAGAGTATGTCCACTTTCCTTAATAAAGACACTAATCCCATCACAGGGTCTCACCCTTATGACCTCATCTAAACCTAATTACTTTGAAAGGCCTACTTCCTAACACCAACATTCCATTCATAACAAACTCTATCATTTACAATTACTTTCTGTACACACCCCAACTTCCCTCTGCTCTCTGCCTTCAGCACAGTAGTTAAGCTAAATCTACTTCTGTCAAAACCATCTGCTATATGAAACATGAAAACATGCATGAAAATGCAAGAATTTACTTGATAAAGAAAATCAGGTCTATGTACATTAAACCCAAAAAGTGCATATGAGAAACTACATTTATTTTACAATAAGTGAACCACAATAGAATCTGTTTCATGGTATAGCTTTCGAGAAAAGGAAACGGTAACCTCTTTTTTGGATTAACTGGTTATGCCAGTATTTACTTGTATAAAGCATATCTCAGAAAATGTGATTTAATCCTCAGAGTCCCAGAAGTCATGTTGTAATATAAAGCTCTTGTATTCTGGGTTCAATTTTAAAACATATTATTAAAAAATTTTGTATTTGACATAGATCTGCTTTGTTTTATGAGGTATGCCACACAAATATATATTGTAAAACCTTATGCCTGACAGCTATTTGGCAAACACTACACCACAAGCTCATCACTGTTTATCTAATTTTTCTTCTTTTAACAAATGACCCCAATTACCATGCAGCCTACTTAGGAGCTCAACTATTAAAAGAACTTTGGATTTCAAATGGTAAAGAAGAGCCACTATGACCCACATTTATGTTAAAAACCAATGACACCAAATACATATCATATTTTATCCAATTTATCTCATCTAATAAGTTACAAAGGCAATTTAGAAATACAGGAAACCTTGAATGCATAAGGCTGTCTTCAAAACAACTTTTGTAACAGGACTCATCTTGCCACTGGCGTCTGCAGGCTCTGAACTAACCAACACCCACTCCCAACCCCTCTTACTTCCTGCTGCCCTTTCTCAGTCATTCTTCAGCCATTGCTATGCATGTTCAAGGCCCAGCTACCCTTTCTATCCACAGAAGCTGTGGACTACTGCACTAATTACCAGAGGAAATAAACTCAAGACCTAAAAGTACATAAAAAATGCCTCTGAGACTTTTCACTATTCAAATTGTTGCCCTGGTTTACATGAATTCATAAAATCACTGTTTTTTCATCTGTATCAAGACAAAAAATTTTATAGTCACATTCAAAGACATAGACCAGTGACCTTATATGGCACCTCAGCAGTGGTTTAAGTTGGGAAAAGAGAAACTAGAAACTGATAGTTCTGTGCTAAGCTCTCTACATTCATTCATTCTGTGTAAAGATTCCATGAGGAAATTAAGAGATGTGACAACTTAGTCCAGGACCCCATGTCTACCAAGTTGAATCAGGATCTGAAAACATGCTACCCACCTGTGCTCTTGACCCCCGAACGGCACTATTCATTTTTCTAGTTAGGGTGCATGATAAGTTGGTGGCCCATGGTTAAGCGTCCAGTTTCTATTAAGCCCAGTCAGTAGCAAGCCAAAAGCTGTTTCTCAACTTTTATAGAGGATGGCAAAGTTTTGTTACAAAATTTTAAGGATCTATGTACTGGTTCACCTATAGTAACCTGCCAAAGGATCAAACCAGCATTTCAACCTGCCACCAATGCTTCCAGCACAGTGGCATCTGTGGGACCACAAGGTCCCAGTGTGGCAGAGCAGCCTGCAAAGCAGCCTGAACCTATTGCAGAACACTCTTGTTTTGAGCCCACTCAAAACTAGTAGCTTCTTGGGTCACTCCATAAATGGGCTGGAGAAACACAACCAAATGAGTAAGTTATCACTTCTACAATCCAAAGAGGCCCTGTAGACCTTACTGCTTGCTGTTTTTCTTCTGTAGATAGGGACATGCTCTATATCAATGGACCACTAGAAATTTCACTGAGGTGGAAGCTCCTGAATTTAAGGGTTTATTTCCTGCCATTTGACATGTACGTGTTTTACCAGCAAGTTCTGTGTATGCAGAGTGGGGATTTTTTTGTCTGGTATATTCGTTACTTCTTGCTCACCAGGTCCAATCAGTCTCATGGCATATAATGTGCCAGTGTGATGCCTTGTGGAAGGGAAAGCTGGCCAGGGTCTGCATTAGTTTGCTGGAGATGCCATAACAGAGGTCATAAGCTAAGTGGCTTAAACTTACGTTGTTATAACTGGAATTTATTATCTCCAGTTCTGAAGGTCAGAAGTCCAAGGTCAAGGAGTCCTCAGGGTTGGTTCCCTCTAGGGGCTGTAAGGAAGAATCTGTTCCATGCTCTCTCCCCTTGCTTCTGTTTATTTGCTGGCAATCTTTGGCATTCCTTGGCTGGCAGAAATATCACTCCAATTTCTGTCTTCATTTTTTACAAGGCAATTCCCCTGTGTACTTGTTTGTGCCCAAATTTCCCTTTTATAAGTACACCAGTTGCACTGGATTAAGGCCCACACTACTCCAGTATGATGACCTCATTTTAACTAATTACATCTGCAACAATGCTATTCCCAAATAAAGTCACATTCTGAAACACTGAGAGCTCAGACTTCAATATATGAATCTTTAAGGGACACAATTCAACCAGTAACAAGGTCCTTGTGGTCTAAATTACAACAGAGCTGGAAAGTTGATATGCCCTGAGGTAGGGCAGTGAAAGTGAATTTCTGGCTTTACTAGATAAAAACAAACTGCCTTTGGTGGTCTTTAATAACAGATACTAAGAGCATCTGGCAGATCAATACCTGCATGCCAGTTACCAGGACATAAGTTAATTTGGTCAAGCAATGAAATGACATCTGGAACAGCAGTTGTAATTGGTCACCACCCCATTAAATTTATGTAATTCACTGCTATTTTCCAAGTTCAATCTGTTTTTTTGTGTAGACCAAATAGGTGAACTGAATCAGAATATGGCAGAAATGACATCTGCTGCCTTCAAGTACACTAATCTCTACAATCCTTTGGGGAAAGGTAGCCTGATCCAAATTATGCTCCTTCCATCATTATTCCATGCCCTTGACATCTATTTCCGAACATATTCCCATGCACATTTTAGGAAAATAGCACATCTCATGAATTGCACTCTTCAGCTCATTCTTCAGGACCTGCTGGACTTAATTCTAAATATAGTTCTAGAAGCAAAGGGGTGGTAGGGGTAGGCACTGAGGAGAACAAGCAGTGTCTTAGCAAAGCAACTACCCCAAGGGAGGTCATCAAGGGTTCTTCAGGTCAAACAGGATTACCTTGTTAAGCAGAGGTGGAAGGACTGAGAAAAAGACTGAGCAGAATTTAGGGTCTTAATATCCTAGTTTCATCAGGATTTTCTCTTATGTCCCATTCAAATTATGGGGACCCCACTCCTTTCCAATCAATGCCATTTTAACAGCATACAACCCATGAAGTTGAAAATTCAATTTGCATTCTATTCAGCCACTTTGGGTTTGGATTTTTGCAATCTTAGCTCTGTAGCTACTGGAGAGATCGGTTTCTTTAGGGCAGGCATGTTCAGGTCATTTATATGAGCTAGGAAAATAAAATCCTGAGCTTGTCCTTTTCTTCCCCTACTTTACCCAGTACAGTTAGGAACAATCAGCTAATCTTATCATACTCATTAATTAGATAAAAACATCCTAAGATATCGAATATATGATCAATTAGACTCTTGCCTTCCATAATCATTCCAATAAGAGTACCAGTGGAGATTCTGCATATTTCTATAGCCATAAAATGTCACACAATATTGTGTCCTCCTGACCACTGGAAATATTCACTAGATCCTTGGAATATAATGACAGTAAAGAATCAATTTCAGAAACCACAGAACAAGTTCAGAAACATCCTCAAGATTTTCTAGCACCTCTCAGTATCAACTAGAATCAGGCTTTTCCAGAAATATAAATAAAAAGAAAAATATACAGATGTAGATGCAAAAATTAAGTATCAATAACTATATCTTGATAGATATAACAAGATTGAGGGCAATCACCTTAAATTCAACAGTTACCTACATCTTCAAAATACTATCACAGCAACACCTATATAAGTATTTCATTAAATAGCCGAGCTAGACTGACATCAAATTAATCAATACATATAGTAAACTTACAGATTTCTCAACCAAATATTACTTTCCACTGTAAAAAAGAAAAAAAAAAGCTTTAAACAAGAATATTTTACCTACTCCAAAAGGATGGTAAAATTTCAGTATGAACACTATATTAAACAGAAGACGAGGAACACTCCTTGCTCTATACTATCTGGTGAAACAAACCTGTCAAAAACAACTTTCTTTCCTGCCTCCACAGAACACCACCATTCTTAGGAAGCTCTAACACTATATCTTCATTCTAAAAGCAGTTTTTATGTTTTCAGTATATTATCTTCAACTCTACAACAGAAATCACACATTAAAATTGTATCTCTGAGAAAAGTGCTCTCACTTTGTTATAAATGTCTTGAAGTAAATTCCATGTGAAGATTCATTTATTCAATAAGCATCTACTTTGTACCAGGTACTGTGCAAGGAACCTGAGTTAATCACTGAACAAAATAATGATCCCTGTCTTGGCAGAGCTCATATTCGAGCAAGACAACATCCTTATCCAGCTATTTTTCTCTCTGATCATAGTAACCAAAGTGTTAAGTATCGGAAACATTCCTCTGAAAATTCATTTGCCATATATGGCCTTTGAGCAGGCACTATTTCATTACCGGTAGAGATTCTAGTGTCTGCAGCTTGAGTCCACTACTCACAGGTGCATGACTTGGCAAAGTTACTTCATCCTCATCTATAATACAAAGATAATCATAACTCTACTGGATTGCAGAAGAACTGAGTGAGCACAAATGTGCAAAGTGCTTAGTTTGGCACACAGAGGTTATTAAAGCATTATCTATTACTTTCATTCAATTTCCAAAGAACCAGAGATTAGGTTACTCAGGCAATAATAGGGGAAAATAACACCAATGGTAACTTGTAAAACATTTTTATCTGGACTATTTACTCTCTTTCACCATTAAGAATTCTTTCTCTCTTTTCAATTGGTTTTACATCATACCTAGTTAAGTTTTACAAAAGCTAAAAAATGTGATCTTTACATATCCCATGGTATAGTGTCAACTGATCCTGAAGTCTGCATGTATTAAGAGACTTTTAATCTAATGAGAAAAAAAAAAATTAAGGTCAAAATTAGATTCACTTTCTCAAAACTTATAACAGCAAATATTTCAAGAAACCAAAATCAAAACATTAGAAGGAGCAAATGCCCACTTCTAATGTTTGAATAGGTAAAAAGCACTCTTAATCTCTAGGACCTATATCTATGAGGTTGCCAATATTCATGAACTCAAAGGCTAATTCTTAATCCAACTATTTACACATAATACAAGGACAGTCCTCCAAAATTGATAGCTCTTCCGTATTTATTAAAAATGGGTCTCTTTCTTGGTTCAAAGTTTACAAAGGGTCAACAGGTTACCTAGGAAGGGCTAACACCCACAATTTATCAGTGATCAGCCTGGGAGGCACATGCTGCGAATATAGCTCTCTCCAAAGCCCAGTCCATTAATTAATATCACTGTACCAAAATCAATAAGATAGTCTGGTAAAACACATATCCATGACCGCTTTTAAAGGGATCAATTTTGGTAAAGCCTAATACTAGATGGATTCTAAATCCACTCTTTGCCCTCTTTAGGCGGGAGGTGTGGCTCAGCAATGGTAATACGAACAAGCATCAACAACTCTGCTCATTCACAGGCAGTTCCGACCCCAATCTCGGGGCGAATGCCCAGAACCAGGGCTTCAGTACAGTAGGCGCCTCCCGACTCCCCAGTGGAAATCCAGGGTGATGGTGAAAGACCGCGCGTCGCCTCCTCCCGCCCCAGACCAAGCCAAAGTCCAGCCGATCCAAAACAGAGCGCAAGGGGTTCCTCCAGCACCTATGGGCCGCCTTGGAACCTGACAGCGGAGCTGGGCCTGCGCGGAAGAAGGTCCCAAGTACCGCGGGACGAGACGACCTGCTCGTCCCTAAGCAGAGGACGCTGCACCGCGGACGCCTCCGGGCCGCCCTCCCACCCGCTCCCGAGAAGGTAACAGCAGAGGGCCTGGGTTCCGACGCGGGCTGGAAAGGGTGCACCGCCGCCAGGCAGAGGTGACCCCTCGGCGCGGG